CAAAAACGATTGAAATCTGAACGCTAAAAAACACCGTTTTTTCTCTACGCACACATGCATATATATAATATGCTAGCCAAGGCAACTTAATAATATGTAGTAAAAGCTAGAGCTCACAAAACGGTTTTGACATAAGCTCAATTGAATTTGTTCATTAATGCAATGTTAATTAATATTCAACAAACGATCAAAAAATGTAACGTACCATCATTAATTTGGAAAATTGATTAAGATTAAAATGCTAACCAAAAGGAATAGAATAAATGCATGTGCAAAAGTTTTATTTGTAAAGTCTAATTAAATTAAAAAGTGAACAAAACATTTAAAACGAAAAAAAACTTTATTCATTTGAAATACTCTCAATTTTTCCAACAATCCCCCACATATTTCAAATGAATGTTTTGAAAATAGTTTAGAAAATTTTCTGCTGGATTAAAGGAATGAGACTTTAAGTTTGGTGTCCGTAGACTATGAACCAAACCGAGACGATTAAGTCTTAATAAACCGAGCTTTTGGTGAAACATATAGTTTCTTGAACCAACAAGCTACTATTGGTAAATCAGGGTCTTAACGGTCGTGTCTCATCCTGCACAATTTCTCGTTATTACGCCGTTGTGCGCCGTAAGGCCATGCGCGTGCTTGGTGTTCATGAGTGCTCTAGAAGTTTTGTCATGCTTCATAGAGGCGGCCCTACCTCACACTCATATAGGTGATATCATCAAGTGTGTACCGCTTTTTCACACCACCATAAAATTAAGGGCTATGATAATCATTAAGAGCTTTTAGCTCACCCTCTCAAAGAATGCGGTTTCTAGCATATATCTCACATCATGGAAATGAGGAATTTTAGTTAGGCTAGCAGAACTAAATGGAAGACTTGTTATTACCCATTTGAACTTGCTTCATGGGATCTCCAATCACACAAGTTGGGTTCCCATCCCCATTCGTTTCAAAGTGACACTAGTCCCATTTCCTTCGATGTTTCGGTTATCATTTTTCGTCCTAGGGATTCTGTCAAAGGAGTAGCTAATTCCTTCTGACTTCATAAAATTAATGGAAATAATTCCATTCTCAAACATCATTGCACCCCTTTTAAGGGTGAATGGATATCCACTATTTTAATTTATCTCATGTGAGTATACTCAGATGTCGTCGTTGTATCCCGGCAATACAAAGGATAATTCTCAATAAAATATAACATCGATGTGACCCTCTAGTACATCGGATAATTCTCAATAAAATATATACCATCATTGTATCATTATAGTACAATGGATAATTTTCATATAACATCATTGTACCGCTCTAGAACAATGGATATTTCTCAATAAAACATATCATCGTTGTATCAATATATTACAACGGATAATCTCAATAAAAATACCATAAATAATGGTACCTCACAAATATATCAATAATCGCCTTAACGCAAATCAATGATCCCTACTTGGGTCATGAGTATATCGGCTCAATCTTCCGACAACACAAACTATGTCGGACCTAGTAAAATTTATAAAATATAATAAGCATCCAATAATTTGGGAATACTCATATTGAGCCTCACGATCACCTCATTTTTTTTTTGAGTGCATATGAAATTCATAAGGGATACCCACGGGTGTGACATTAAAATGTCCAAACCTCTTTAGAAGTCTATCAGCATAATGCTCTTGAGATAGTATAACATCATATCCTTCCTTGTGACTTTCATATATACCCAAAATCATTTTTGTTACCCCCAAGTCTTCCACACTAAAAATTAACATATCATCCACATACAAGCAAATTATAATGCACAAACCATTTTTACATTTAGTGTATACACACTGTGTTTTCCTGACCACTAACCACATGACCTTCCGGTTGCACCATATAAATTTCTTCTTCCTCTAGTTCACCATTTAAAAATGCAATTCTAATATCCCTTTGATGAATAAAAAGTTTGTGAATAATTCAAAAATTTCATCATTAAAAGATTAATTTTCTTTTAATGGATTACTATCACTAGAGGGTTGAATGGTCTTGTGTTCAATTTTCAAAGGAAACACATACTCAAAAAAAAATTCAGCATTTTTGTTTCATCGGCATATAAAAAATAATCACACATGCATCATTTAGTGTGTACACATTCTCCAAAAATGGTCACATTAATAACTTCAATAATATATCATAAAACATTGCACATTAGCACACTATTTCTTTCATTTATGAAAATAATATATATGCTCCATTATTTCAATTTATGCAAAAACAGCCAAGAGTTATAAAGCTCATTTTCACTCAATGAGATAGGAATAAGAATATAGCTAAGCACCCCCACAATTTTAAATATTTAAAAATAGGTGCATAGCCCTTCTAGAATTCATAGAGAGATAATTTATATCTCAACCTTTATTTGTACACATTGAATTTATCAAAAACTCTCCTTTTATATTTAAATAAGATAAAATTTAGTTTATCTCGAAAAATCACCAATAAATGTGACAATGAACTTTTACCACCTCTAACCACAGTGTAGATGCTCTAATAAAATTTATATAAATTCATCAATTGTATCACAATTTTCTAGAGGTGCTTCTGTATCACTCTTAGGATATTTAGGAGTTTCATATAACAAACAAAAATAAAGATCAACTTAAAATGTCATGTGAAACATCAAATCTATTATATCACATAACACAATAATTAACCAACCGTTAGTACGCAGAAGCATCATCATGCGACTTTCAAAAATGCTAAGCATAAAAAGTCCATTCTTACAATATCCATTTCCCACAAGAACATCATTTTTTTTTGTCATAACAAAATTGTCACAACCAAAAGAAACTTTAACCCCAATTAACTTTTCCCAAGAGAGAAACGGAAACTAAATTAGTCCGAATGTTGGGCAGATGAAGCACATCATTTAGTGATAAAGTTTTCCCCGATGTGAGCTTCAGGAAAACTTTCCTTTTCCATGCACCTTAACGGTTTTAGAGTCCGTCAGGTACACGAGCCTTTCACCATCTTCTATAATACTCCGTAGTATAGGAGGTAATAGCATTTTTGTTTTTGCAAATATGCTTGGTAGCCCCGGAGTCTACCGCCCACTCATTCACATCATTATTTTTACAACTTTGAAAAACAACCGCAATAAAATTATCATCACTACAAACCAAGTTTAAACTTGATTTTAGTGGGTTGTTGTTTTCCATAGTTGTCTTTTTATCACTAAATAAATGAATAACTTTTTTCTTAAAAAAGTGGAGTTAAAGTATGACTTATTGTAAGTAGAAAAGTGGAGAGACTAACCATTATACGTAGAAGACTTTTGTGAGTGTTTATCAGATTAATACGTCTCCCCATGCGGGTGTATCACAGCCTACTTCGCAACGCACAAGTAGAGATAACATAGCCCCGATGAGTGCGGCGGCAACACCTTATGAGATCATATGTGCAGGCATATCCAACGTCAAATACTTTCTTGAGATTGTTGTAGGAAAGTGGTCGGATAAACCTGCAAAAAGCGTTAGAAAATAATATAGCTCGAGTCGCGTAAACGCTGTCCTCAAGAAAGTATTTCCGACTAGCGAAAATCTTTCCCCAAGATAAAACGAGCTCTTCGGCTTATGCCGGTAACAGAACAACGAGATTAAAATAAAATTAATCCAGCAGAGTTGTAACATATATATTAGGGGATGTTCAACTCAAAAGTAATTTTTGTCCGACTACTAAGTACGAAGAGTAATATTTTCCTTAAGAGCAAAAACGATTGAAATCTGAACGCTAAAAAACACCGTTTTTTCTCTACGCACACATGCATATATATAATATGCTAGCCAAGGCAACTTAATAATATGTAGTAAAAGCTAGAGCTCACAAAACGGTTTTGACATAAGCTCAATTGAATTTGTTCATTAATGCAATGTTAATTAATATTCAACAAACGATCAAAAAATGTAACGTACCATCATTAATTTGGAAAATTGATTAAGATTAAAATGCTAACCAAAAGGAATAGAATAAATGCATGTGCAAAAGTTTTATTTGTAAAGTCTAATTAAATTAAAAAGTGAACAAAACATTTAAAACGAAAAAAAACTTTATTCATTTGAAATACTCTCAATTTTTCCAACACCTTGAACAGTGAATGAACACCCAGAGTTTTGTGTTCTTGCATTCTTGATTGTTCAAAATTGTGTTAGTATTTTTGTTTCAAACTTAATGGATACTTGGCTTTCTTGAATATAATACCCTGTTTCCTATCTGCTTCTTGTTGGGTAATGAAATAATGAATACAATTCAATGTCTTTTCTGAATATATTCCCGCCGGCCGGGCCGCCGGACAGTGGCTAAGTCCAAAATGCTCTGTTTTCTGTTCTGAACGAAATGCTCTGTTTTCTGTTCTGCACAAAATGCTGTATCGATCTTGAAATATGTGTTAATTGCATGGTGGTTTCTGCCGCCGGCCTTTCATCTCAAGTCTCTATCTTCCGGTGTCCGGTGGCACTCCCGGGGGTGGCGTTGCTAAGCTTCAGCCTTCACGCGCACAACACTTTTCTCAGCGGACATCTTGTCTACTACATAACTGATCGATCTGCTTAATAGTGATAATATTTGCCGGTTATAATAAAATTCATTCCAAATACTCCGTATATACGTAGTACGTGCATAAATAATGTCGTAGATGAAATTGTTAATACGTACTGTATATTTTTAGATTGGAACATGCGTCTCCCTACAAGTAAAAATTTTGCAAGGAAAAAAATAAGTAGTACCAATTTTTTCAAGGAATGTGAGTAACATTTACTTCCTCCGTCCCGAAAAGATTTGTTATATTGACTTTTCTTGATCAATAATGACATATTTTGGACAATGATTTGAATAATTATATTTGTTTATTATTGGTCCAAAATAGGACGCTCGTAGGCTTTTAGAAAAGCTACGTACGACACTCAAGCAGGAATTAGGAAAATAATACGAGAATGAAAAGTGATCAAGAAGTTTGGTTGCCCATAATTGCTTATCGTTCATTTGAATCAGACTTGCCTTTTATAGGCGATTACAAATGGTAACTGTCAAAGATATTAATGGCTAATTAATTACAATATTATACGGAAATTAAATACATAATTAAGTCTCACATTAATTGCTTCGGCCGTTACTGTTCCTGGCTAGCAAGTCGGCCTGGCTGGCAGGCCGAACACTTGAGCTCCCTCCTGCTGGACTGGAGGCAGGCTCCTGAATGGACTGGAAGGCAGGCTTCCCGCTGGGCTGGAGGCAGGCTACTGGCTGGGCTGGAAGGCAGGCCACCGGCCAGGCTGGAAGGCAGGTTCCCCGCTAGGTTGGAGGCAGGCTCCTGGCTGGGCTGGAAGGCAAGCTCCCCGTTGGGCAAGAGACATGCTCCTGGCTATGCTGGAAGGCAAGCTCCCCGTTGGGGAAGAGGCAGGCTCCTGGCTGGGCTGGAAGGCAGGTTCCCCGTTGTGCTGTAGGCAGGCTACTGGCTGGGCCGCAAGGCAGGCCGTCTTGGGCTTCCGCTTCTTGATGGACCTGATCCATTAGGCCGGCTCGAGCTCTGGGTTGTTGGGCTTGGACCTTCTAGTTCAAGTTCGGGGCCTGGGCCGATTAGGCTCTGGGCCTAGTCCCATAACCCCATCACGAGTCCTCCACTCGCTTATTATTATCAGAATTATTCTCCTGAGCACTTTCCGTATTCACATTATTTTCCTGATTTCCTGCTTGAGTGTCGTACGTATCTTTCCTAAAAGTCTAGGAGCGTCCTATTTTGGACCAACATTGATTCTTTCATTGAGAGCTTCTATCCTCTCTCACGTCACTTTAGCAGGAAAACCAAGAAAAAATCTGTCTAATTCAGATGAAAATGATGTTACTGGACATCTCAGATTTAGATCTGAAATTTCATACAGGGGAAGAAGGGAAGAAAACTATGTCTGATTTCTCCAGCCCTGCTGAAGAACAATGTGTCAGCAAGAAGATCGGCGATACCAACGCCGACGCGTCTCTCATGCAGATGGAGAAGGTCGTTGTCGACCCCAACCGGGACACCCTTGGTGACCCCTAGACAGAGCATGAGGACCCAGAAATGGAGCGTACAAGGGCTCAGCTGCTCCGGCCACTCGCTCCTCTTTCCGTTCAGTCGCCACCCACTACCCTCTCTGTCGAGTCGCAGCTCCTCCTCAAGTCTGGTGAGCCCCAACAAGGTTTCTGCCAATCAATGATCACAAGTTCCATAACTCCGTCATTTATAATTTATAATTTTTATACTTTTATTAATATTTTAAATAAGGAACATTTTGATATAACTTTCATATTAAAAATAATTTCATATTAAAAAATATCATATCATTGATCAAAGTTGATTGTCTTTGATCAAGAAAAGTCAATTTGACAAACCTTTTCGGAGCGGAGGGAGTATTAATAGTTATGTCAAACTAATCACCTAATCACCAATATATACGGAGTATTGTTTAACCATTAAATCGATCTGAATGAGAACTTCATGTACGAATCGCTATATATGATTGTGTGACTGCCTGTAAACTCAACATGATTTCACTTATGATATTGGTTCTTGTCCTATATACGGAGTATTTAGGTAAGGGTGGGCATTAGTTTTCAATTCTGTTTGAAAGAATTATTATCAAATAAAATTCATTATTTTTTTTGTTTGGTTCGATTCAGTATAGTTCAATTTGAATTTGTTATTTTGAATATGTAGTACTCCATAACATATAAAAGTTCTAGGAAAAATTGACAAGAATAATCCCACCTTTTATTGGTCTTCTCAAAATAATCTCACATTTACGTAATCTCAGAATAATCTCACCTTTACACCTCATCTTCTTTCCTTGGACCCTGACCTGTATTAAAGTAGAAGATGAATTGTATATTGACTGCATTTAACAATGTACACTTGATGGTGTATTTATAATACATCAGGTAATTAAGATAAAGCCTATCAGCTAACCTACATAGCCGCATGCAGTGGAGTCGGCTGTCATACTTAGCCACGTAATATGGGGCTGATAACAAACTGATATGTACAAGAATGGATAATAATGAATAAATACAATTATGCTTTAATACGCCCCCGCAAGATGGAGTGTCCATTGGAAACTCCCAGCTTGGATCGAAATGTTTCAAATAGATTCTTCCCGAGGGGCTTCGTGAGAATGTCTGCCACTTGAAGTTTATTTGAAATGTGTTGGACACGCAGCTGACCGCCCTCAACAAGATCACGAACAAAGAAAAAATCTAAAGCTAGGTGCTTCATGCGTGAATGAAATACCGGGTTTACCGATACATATGTGGCGCCTTGATTGTCACAAAAGAGCTGAGGAGTGGTTGATCGAGTGATACCCAGATCAAGTAATAGATTTTTAATCCACAACAACTCTGCACTAGCATGGGCAAGTGCCCTGTATTCCGCTTCAGTAGACGAACGAGAGACCGTCTTTTGTTTTGCCGACTTCCATGAAATAATATTAGATCCCAAATAAAGAACATAAGCCGTAGTGGAGCGACCTCCATCATGAATACCACCCCAGTCTAAGTCAGAGAATGCAGTGAGCGTGAGAGGAGATGAGCGACGTAAGAATAAACCATGATCAATTGTACCTTTAAGGTATCGTAGCGCTCGTTTGACCCCCTGCCAGTGAACATCCGTTGGTGCATGCATGAATTGAGAGAGCCTGTTGACTGCAAATGAAATGTCCGGACGAGTAAAAGCAAGATATTGTAGCAATCCAAGTGCACGCCGATACTGACTGGGATCGGTGGATACTGTCCCAGCCGTGAGATGAATTGGAGTAGATGAGCTCATGGGTGTGGCTGCAATCTTGGCACCATCCATATGGCACGTTTGTAGTATATTGAGTATATACTGTCTTTGAGACAGAAAAATACCCATAGCATGAGGTATGACCTCAATCCCCAGAAAATGGTGAAGCGTGCCTAGATCTTTAACTGAGAACCGGGTTGCAATTTGTTTGACAAATGTGTCAACGGCTGCACTGTTATTTCCGGTGATGACAATGTCATCCACGTAAACCAAGAAATATATAATAACACCTTGATGAGAGTAAATAAATAACGACTGATCAGCCCGAGACTTTCGAAACCCAACAGATAAAAGAAACCGACAGAGTTCTAAATACCATGCACGTGGAGCTTGTTTAAGCCCGTATAAGGCCTTGTGAAGACGGCAAACGTGATGAGGATGAGTAGTGTCCCGAATGTTAGGAAATTGATGTAACGTACCTCGAAAGTACGGCAGCGGAAGTTTAAAATTTTCCCAAACAGATCTTTCCTGATTATGACAAAACAACGAATATGACAATAATAGTAGATCTGAGTTAGAACTTATAGATCTTCCAGCCTAGCAGTGATAATCCTTGACCTTAGGTATCCACGTGATTTCTCCCTCCCGAAAGAACGGTTAGATCTCCCTAAGAGAAAGGCTAGGAAATCTCTTCGCAGGGAAATAAACTGGTAATACTGAATCTGAAAACTGGTCTATAAATTATGAAGGAGAAGGATGTATTTATACTAGTTCGAAACTAGTTTTCCAATCACAATGAAAGTCTTTCTAATTAATGAGTTCTAATCCTACTAGGACCAATACTCCTAATTAATTAAATAAGTAGATAAAACAAAACAAAATAATAATAATAATTGAAATGTGGCTGCACGCCACATTCTAATTATTATATATTAATATTTATTTTATTTACTTTTCTTTTAATTCCAAATTACAAAAGAAAATATCTACTTTATTTAATAATAAATACATCTTATTTAAGTATGATAAATCTAATTTATCTTACTTAATTATTTCTATCAAATAGAACTCTCCTTCAGATTCATGAATTAAATATGTTTAATCTAATTAATATTTAATTCATTTTCAGTATTACGAATTAAATATTATTTAATCCAATTAATAATATTTAATTCCTTCTAACAATTCAATCGGAAGGTATAATCACTTGTTGTGTGACCCATAGGGCCTTATATATTAAGCACTAATCGAATTAAGGTCTTAGCGAATCCCTAGACGATTCTCCAGACAAACCTAATATATAAGGACGTTTGCGAGGACTATACAAACTCCCTGTAATATAGAGCTCATAGTGATACGGTCCTTTCATTCAGCGAACATTCAACTAAGTCTAGAACATGATATAGTGTCTATCCCAATAACTCAGTCTCTGTCTCTCAATCTTTCTAGATGATCCATAACGATCATATTCGATATCCAAAACGAATATATCTTTGCATTGGCCAATGACTTTATGATCCATCTAGATATGAGAAGTAGAATGTTCTCTCTTAATCTATTATGAGGAATGAATCCTTTCTTGGCTCAACTACTACTCCATGTGCTTCGTGATGCACCCAACACATGCCGTATCTACCCCGATTGGAGTGCAAGCGTTGGTCATGGTCAAAGTACATCACTCCGCACATGTAGTACGTATTGACCTCAAGTCGGAGGACTATTACACTACTCTATACGCCGATAATCCCATAGACACATGAATAGAACTTATCAAATGGTTTCTCGGTGGGTATGCCAATATTCTCTAAAATATCTATGTGACCATCATGAATTACAGGAACTCATAGTCGTGAGATCAACTATACTTTCTAAAAGTATGATGCATTCCACATACCAATCTTATCTCATATCATCAATATCCCATTTTTTATGATCATTGATTGGGGCTATTAAAACCTGGAGGTTGAGTGATATATACTTCCTCAGATAAAGTGCCATGCAAAAATGCATTATTTACATCCATTTGACGGAGAGGCCAATTTTGAGATAATGCAATTGATAAAATAACACGAACGGTGGCAGGTTTTGTAACGGGACTAAACGTCTCGAAATAGTCTTTACCCGGTTGTTGCATAAAGCCACGGGCAACAAGGCGTGCTTTGAACCTGGCGACACTTCCATCAGCATTCCGTTTGATACGGAACAACCATTTGCAAGTGATAGGTTGTTGGGCCTGCTGTGGAACAAGGGTCCACGTAGTATTTCGTTGAAGAGCAGCGATTTCATCCTCCATAACTGCCTTCCACCTTGGATCTGCTAAAGCTTGTTTTACACTCACGGGTTCCAGGGGAGTGGGTATAGGGTGACGGGTAGTGGAGTTGACGAACGGATCGCCAAAATATTTGGGGTTAGGGATCCGTTGTCGAGTGGGGCGGGTTGGAGGAGGTGAGGTAGATAAAACTTGTGAATTAGAGGAGCTGGATGCATGGGGTGGGGCTGGTGGATCGGTCATATTTAATTGGGAGGTACTTGGAGTGGTTGACACGTGAGAGGTATTGTGGGTGGGTGGTGTTGGGGAATTAATTTGGTTGGAATTGGGATGATCGATGGAAGTGATGGGTCGTTGACCGTGAAATGGAGGAATAGATAAGGATTGGGATGATGAGGTGTTATGAGATAAAGATAAAAATTGTGTTGAGGTGGACGAGTAGGATGGATCGGGACTCAGGGAGCTACTAGATGCATGAGAAGATGAGGCAGATTTATCCACGCATGCACTTGAGTCACGAAATGGATAAAAATCTGGAAAGAATCTGACATGTCGACTAGCGTATACACGACTCGTATGGGGATCCAAACAGTAATATGCAGATTGAGAAAGAGAATAGCCGATAAAGACACATGGGATAGACCGGGGATCAATTTTAGTGGAGGAGTATGGACGAAGCCATGGATAGCACAGACAGCCAAACGGGCGTAATTTAGTGAGATTAGGCCGTTGACCGTATAGGCACTGATAAGGACTCGCATTATTTAGCACCGGAGTTGGTAACCTGTTTATGAGATAGACTGCGGTTTGAAAAGCGTACGACCAATAGGATAAAGGTAACCCAGAAAAATGAACCAGTGCAAGTCCGGTTTCAGTAATATGTCGATGTCGTCGTTCCGCAAGTCCATTATGTTCAGGTGTGTGAGGCGGAGAAGTAAAGTGAGAAATACCATGAGTGTTTAAGTAGGACCGTAATTTGATGTATTCACCACCATTATCGGAGAAAATACTCGTAATTTTATGATTAAAATATTTCTCAATAAGACGGTGAAATTGAGGGAAGATATGTTGAACATCGGATTTTTGTTTTAGAGGATATAACCAAATATATCGTGTGAAATAGTCAACAAAAATAACATAATAACGACAACCGGTGATTGATATATGGGTAGTGCTCCAAACATCCGTGTATAACAATTCAAGTGGCCGTTGAGCATGCATAGAATTAATAAAAAACGGTAGTTTCGTACTTTTATTAATTGAGCATGACATACAATGATGATCACTTAATGTGTTACACGGAATGTCATAATTATTTTGACTGACTAATAAAATGAATATACGACTAGAAGGATGGCCAAGTGTGTGGTGCCATCGTGACTGATTTGAAACTTGAGATATATTGACTTGCGGAAAGATGACATGTGGAGCATAGTAGACATCATTACGGTTCTCCCCTCGCATTAGTGGAGCCCCCGTGACCCGATCCTTAACAAGAAAATGAGAAGAAAAGAATTCAATAGAGACATTGTTAGTTTTGCATAGTTGAGAAACTGACACAAGGTTTTTGTGTAAACGAGGAACACATAAAATATTAGAGAGGGTAAGGGGTCGGGATTTAGTGGGTAGGATTGTGGAACCCGTGTGAGTAATTTTCAAGGACTTACCATCTCCAAGGCGAACTTCATCGGGACCGCCATATTCATTGTAGGTTGGAAGCAGAGTGGCGTCAGAAGTGACATGGTGTGACGCCCCACTGTCAAATAGCCAAGGTTGACCGGTCAAAGATGAATGAGCAGAGGAGTGAGCTGACGTGGTATTAACCATTGGGTGCTGAGATACCGCTGGCGGTGCAATATTATTGTCTCGGAGAAATCGTTGGAGCTTGCGACACTACTTCACCTCATGCCCAGGAATGTCACAGAATCGGCATGTGACAGAGGAATTGTTGCGAGAGAAACGTCCATGATGGGCTCCACGTCCACGATGCGTAGAATTCCCCCTGCGGTCAAATTGATTTGCATGGCGACGATCTCCAGTATGAGAGGGAGCAGTGGTCACATTGGCCGTAGGTACCAGTGTCTGAGTGACATTAGAAGCCTCTTGGAGATCATTCTCTTGTTCAAGGAGAATGTCCTGTAATTCTGCCAGTGGAAGGGCTGATTCACGGACACGAACGGCTGATTTGATGTCACCGTAATCAGAACCCAGACCTTTGAGAATACTGACAACCAAATCTTCATCCGAAATTGGGTTCTGTGCAAGTGCAAGAGCCTCTGAAAGGGCATACATTTCAGCAAGGTAAGCTGTGATGGAGCGATTACCTTTGATAGTCCGAGCAAGAGTGGACTTGAGGGAGATGATGCGGCCGCGTGATGCGCTGGCATAGGTGAGAGCCAATTTGTCCCAAGCATGTCGGGCAGTGGAGGCCGATGAAATTAGAGGTTGGATAGTTTCAGAACAACTTCCAATGAGTGCACTTATAATGGTACGATCCTGCCGGTACCAAATGGCATAGCATGGGTTTGGTTGAGTCTTGGCATCATCAAGATATTGATCTGGAGCTTTAATAGTTCCATCAACATAGCCTTCTATACCCAGGCCGATTAGAGCCGAGTGCACTTGGCACTTCCGGACTGGGAAATTAGAGTTGGTAAGTTTGACGGGGAAGTGGGTGCTGGCGGTGATAGCGATGACAGGGGTGGTGGCGGTGATAGTCATGATGACGGGATGATTGGAAAAAAAAAATTGAACTCGTTAGAGATTGGCTCTTGATACCATATTAAAGTAGAAGATGAATTGTATATTGATTGCATTTAACAATGTACACTTGATGGTGTATTTATAATACATCAGGTAATTAAGATAAAGCCTATCAGCTAACCTACATAGCCGCATGCAGTGGAGTCGACTGTCATACTTAGCCGCGTAATATGGGGCTGATAACAAACTGATATGTACAGGAATGGATAATAATGAATAAATACAATTATGCTTTAATAACCTGTTGATGACCTACTATACTAGGTTTTTTACTCTTTCTTTGAAAATATTATATAACTAATCCCACCTTTCACAAATCTGCTCAAAACGGTCCCATGTTTCATTTTTTCTTTTTTCTCCCTAAATTTTTTTTCTTTATTTTCATCCCTAGACATTTTTTATCTTTTTCTATCATTTTGTTCTTATTTCTTTTCAACTTTTATTATTTTATTTCTCACTCTATTAGGAGAGATTTCTTTTTGTAAAATTTCTCTTCAAAATAGCTCTTTTTTGTCGGTTTCTTTTTCTTTCCCTATTTTTATTCCATTTCCCTTTTTCTTATTAAAGATCTTATTTTAAAAGTGAAAATATAAAAGTGGAAAAGTGAAAATAAAAAAAAATATCAAAAAGTAAAGTGAGAAAAAGATCTTTAATAAGAAGAGAATGATTAAGAAGAAAAACATAAAAAGGGAAATGAAATAAAATACGGAAAGAAAATGACAATGACAAAAAAAGTTACTTTGAAGAGAAATTTTACAAAAAAAATTCCTAATAGGGTATGAAATAGAATAATAAAAATGGAAAATAAATAAGAACAAAAGGATAGAAAAAGGAATAAAAAGTGTCTAGGGATGAACATAAAGAAAGAAAAATTTTAGGGGGGGGAAGAAAAAATGAAACATGGGACCGTTTTGAGCAGATTTGTGAAAGGTGGGAATATTTATAAAAGGTTTTCAAAGAAAGGGTAAAAAACCTGGTATAGTAGGTCATCAACATGTCAGGGTCCAATGAAAGAAAATGAGGTACAAATGTGAGATTATTTTGGGATTACGTAAAGGTGGAATTATTATAAGAAGACCAGTGAAAGGTGAGATTATTCTTGTCAATTTTTCCAAAGTTCTATTGAATATCTTTAGTTCGAAATTCAAACCACAATTTTTCAATTCTTGTCAATTTTTCCAAATTCAAAACACAATTTTGGTTCAGTTCTATTTAATACGATCTGAGAGACCGCCAAATTCAAACCAAATAGCGTATTGTCCAGTTTTAGTTCACTTTTGTTCGATTTAGTTTTGTTCAATATGCTCACCCCTATATTTAACTTGAATGGGGTACTTAGTAGATCATTTTACATGTGATACTCCAAAACACATACACTTGAGCTTTTAGTGTCCGCTAAGTCCGTTTGCCATTAATCTATCTATATCAATAGTGTGGATTTTTAGTTTCTAGAAATTGATATAGCGGTCTTCTTGATTGTTTAGAAGCAATGGATCCTCGTAACAAATAGTATAGTACAAATACATTTAAAAGTTAATCAAGAGATAAATAAATTTAGAAAATGGCTGCGTGTTTCGACCAAGAGGCAACAATACATCCGTCCCTATATATATATACTACATCCGTTCTTAAATAAATGCAACACTTTGACTTTTACACTATTCATATGTTCTACTTTGACTACGTTTTATTTATTAATGTAATAATATTATTTTATGAAAAAAATATTGTTAAACTTGTCTCATTGTAAATTTTCATAATCTAATTTTTTTAATTTTTTTACTAATACAAAATCATTTATATTAATAGTCAAAGTTGTGTCTCGGCAAGTGTGAAATGTTGATCGTTGCATTTATTTAAGAACGGAGGAAGTATATATATATATATATATATATATATATATATATATATATATATATATTAAAGAAATGAATTTAACTTCACATTCACTACAAAAAAATTCACTTGTAGTCACGAACCGTAGTCACGGATTTGGTCCGTGACTAGTTAGTCACTATTTAAAAAAAAATAGTCACGGATGGTTCCGTGACTAGTGCCGTGCCTACAGTTAGTCACGGATACGTCCGTGACTAATTCCGTGACAAGTGCAAAATTGATTTTTTCAACGTTCCAAATTTAAAGTGCTCTGACAAATCGTACCAAAAATGTGTAGTCACGGACACATCCGTGACTACGTCCGTGACTATAAGTTTTATATATTCAGCCTCCGCTTTATTCAACAAAATCACACCATCTACTCCAGATAGAATTCCAAATAGAATTGAAGGATGTAATCTACCCATCTCATATCATTTTTCCTGTTTATGCAGATAAGATATGTAATTTGAATTACGTATTTTTTGTATGAATTAGTTGGTTCATTTTAGCTACTACATTAGTTAAATTAATACTTAATTAATTAACGAAATAAATTCCTTAAATTTAGTTACGTTAAACGTAGGTGTAATTTAAACATATTGGGTTAATTAAGTTGTATTTAATTAATTAAAATTACGTAAATTAGTTAAATATGTAAATTAGTTAAATACATATATATGAAAGTATATTATTAAATATAATATTGGCATTACATATGTTATTAATTTTAAAATATAGGGTTAAAATTACGTAAATTAGTTTAATACATATGTAAGTATATATGATTAAATATAATTTAAATGCATATTATTAATATTAGTTAAATGTAAGTATTATTTAATTCAAATGACTTTATATATATATGATTAAATATAAGTATATGATTTCTTTATATTGGCAATTATTGTTAATTAAGGTGGCCTAATTTAGGATTAATAATGATTTAAATTAGGGTTAGTTAATTTAATTTAAATGTGTTTATTATATATATATGCTCAAATTATTGGATTTGCTCATATTATTTAATTTAGTAAATTGTTAAATGTGCATTATTAATAAGATTAAGATGTTGATAATTTTAGTATTGTGGATTAAATTAATGCCATTAACGTATTATGCATGTTTACTGATGGAGTATATGGGTCTAGGCCCCATGACCCACATACTCAGAAGAACAGAAGGTACCACGATCACCGGGTGACCTCATCGGCCATGCTCTCATCGGCCATGCTCTCATCGGCCATGCCCTCATCGGCCAGGAAAAGATCTACTCAGAATATGATCCAGAAGACCGGAGAACCGGGTGCCCTCATCGGCTATGTTCTCATCGGCCATGCCCTCATCGGCCAGGAAAAGGTCTACTCAGAATATGATCCAAAAGCCCGGAGAACCGGGTGCCCTCATCGGCCATGACCTCGTCGGCCATGCCCTCATCGGCCAGGCTCTCATCGGCCATGCCCTCATCGGCCAAGCCCTCATCGGCCATGCCCTCGTCATCCATAGATAGCCTCTAGAACGGGATTTTATACTTATCATTTCTATACACTTTGTATCTGGTCCATTAATGGCCCTATTGTAAATGGGCCTCCCAAGCCCAAGACTTGGGAGCCCAGCCCTAATTTTCTCTATAAATACTCCCCTTGGGAGTAGTTGTAAGGGTTCAGAATTCACTAATACAAAGCAAATATACTACTTCTCTCTCTAGCTCTCACTTCTCTCTAGAATCTAGGAGTTAATACTCCATCATTTGGTGCTCTCGTTGAGAGCTAGAACAATCAAGTTAGCATCCTTCGTCGCTACCAAGCACAGCTAACCACTGATCATGGGAAGAACTAGGTCAAACCGCAACCTCGTCAGCAAGGCCATCCCTGAGGATCAGGAGAACAGGGAACACGAGGAGGACGCCACGGCCGACAAGGCCGCCGAGGGGGATGTCTTCCAGGAAGCCATCGACCTCGCAGGTGACCTGCGCAACAAGCTCAACGGCGGCGCCCCTGACGCCCGCATCGGCTTGGACAAGAAGCGTGCAGAGAAAGGTGACAATGCCTCGGCGCAACCGGCCTCTCCTGCCGTTGACCCTCAGCTTCAGGCCGCGCTCTCGGCCATCATCGCCAGCTTGGCCCAGAACCCCACCGTCCTCAGCGCACTCATGCCAAGGACTGGGGAGAACACTACACCGCCTCCTCAGCCCCAGCCGTTGGCCATCAGGCTGGGCAACGACGAAGGGGTGGTGCCCCAGGACACGTCGTCATCCCACTCCCACCCTGCTTCCCCACTTCGAGCTGGACCGGCCCCAGCGCGTGGAAAAGCCTCAGCCTTTAATAGGCTAGGTGACACGCGTCGTCGGCCTGCTTCGGAGAGGATGGCGGGACGGATCGGTGAACGTGAGCCTAGCTCACCAAGGGAAAGCTTGGGGTCCGTATCCCGGACAGCGGATCGGCCCCACCTCGACAAAGGCAAAGGAAAATTGCACGAGGACAATGCGCGTCATCGAATCAACACGACTCAAGAAGCTCGCGTGCGCAACCAGCAAGGCGCCACTACGGCCGCCAAGGACCCTCGGGACGAGGTCATCGCCCAGCTGGAAAGGAGACTGGCCCAGATGGAGGCTAGACAAGCGGCCACCATCCCTGGAGAGGGAGCTGGCCGACAGACGTGGTGACCCCATCATCCAAATCAGAACAAAAACTCCCTTCACCACGAGGGTGCTCTCGGCCCCAATACCCGAGAAGTACCGAGGGAATGCCATCAAGCCCTATGACGGCCGCTCTGACCCCCAGGAGCACTTCAGCCGTTATCAAAACAACATGCTGATGGTGAACGCATCAGATGACTACCTCTGCCGTTGGTTCCTTTCCACTCTTGAAGGGCCAGCGTACGAGTGGTTCAACGCGCTCCCCGAAGGAAGCATAGATTCGTGGCAGGATCTTGCCCAACGCTTCCTCACCCACTTCGCCGGAAGGAAGCGCGTGAAAAAACATTTCTCCCACCTCCTCTCCATCATGCAGCAACACGATGAATCACTTCGGTCTTTCATCGACCGATGGAAGAAGGAGACAGACGAGGTCCAAGGTGCCGATGAGCGCACCCTCCTCGTCCTCTTCCAAGGTGTTCTCCGCAGCAGCCCCTATGCGAGGAGCCTCATCACTGACCCGCCAAG